ACTTCATTTGCAGCAAACAGCTAATGCAAACATCAACTACAATGCTCGAGAAGGAAAGAGCACGGCAGAGGTGTGAACAGTCACAGATCGTTTCTCTTTGTGGCGTAGTTGTCCACTTTAAGTTACCGAATACATATTTTTATAATATATCTTTTGCAGAAGTTTTTACTGTACAGAGGGTTAAATTTATATTGTTGTGCCTGCTTGAGTATCAAGTGAACTTTCCTCCCTCAATTTAGTAAAGTAATTTAGTTTGTATATTCAAGTACAATAACACCCTTGATGTCCCGTAAAATGCTGTGCTTTATTTTCATCTTTGTCAAATCTGATCTTCATTGACCCAGCACTCGTGTTCACTACAGTGCAAAATGACGTACCATACAGACTGCTGACACATGTGTTTTTTCTTTTATTATTTTGGTTTTGCAGCGGTGAAAACATATATCCAATATTTTCCGCATGAACAAAGTGATATTATTTAAATAAAAAATGAATTCAGATATTCCCCTGATGGTTATTGGAAACCTGCATTTTTAGATGTCTTTTAGTTTTAGAATTTACACAAGATGTAGTAAGCTACTTTCGAAATCACTGACATCATGTTTTATCTACTGAGTTGCCTCATCAGAAGTTCTAGCTCTCGTATGTGATAAATCTACTGGAACTTGTCTATTAGCAATTTTAGGGTCTGGCAGTCTTTTGATACTGAGACGTGTGCAGGTCGATGATAGTTTTCACAGAAACAGTGTTTCTAAGGGGAAGGTTGCTTGCACAAAATTCACCAGAATAAGCGCTAATGGAACAGAAAGCATCGTTTTGTGCGAGCCAATCACTGGCAGGACTCATCAGGTAATGCAATACTTTTTTAAATTACCTTTGTATTATTCTGTTAATAGATGCACTCTTAAATACAAGCTTTGTGCGCCTGCAAGAACATTGGCTTGAGATAAATTAATTCACTACTCCTATACTTATCTTATGTGACTAAAATATCTGGAATCTTCTTCGATCTTTGATCCGAGTGCATATAGAAAAAAATATACATGCTTTCCTTGAATTATGGGTTTACTCTCAATACTCTATAATACCGTGGCTGATACTAGCTATTAATTAAGATGGCTTCAAATGTGGGCTTTTTTTGTTGCCATCGATGATGCCATCCGCCATCCTTTGTTGTTTGTGTTTCTGCTGTTGAAATATTTTGAAACTGAAATTGCCGTCTCTTTTGTCCCAGATACGTGTGCATTTGCAGTTTCTGGGACGTCCGATAGCTAATGACATGCTTTACTTGTCGGAATGTGTTCCTCAACGTTCCACCAAAGTATTGAGCGCGGATAGAGCTGCAAATAATTCAGTTGAAGATTTTGCCATTGATCATATGTGTACCAACTGTCCAAATCTGGCGCCTAAAGGGTGAATTATTATTTAATTAGCTATCAACATATAATGCTGATCATGAAATATCTCATGACATTACTCGTGTATCTGAATTGGTTTCCAGCTTCTTTATGTTTAAAAGCTTTTTTTAGCGTTAGTGGTTGTTTAAATATGAATGGTGAGTACGACTCTTTACTTGTGCAGATATGATGGTCGTGAAGAAGGTTTATGGCTGCACTGTGTTAGATACTCGGGGCCTGGCTGGACTTACGAGTGCCCATATCCCGACTGGACATCGCTAAGCTAGTAATTTTATTTACTTTTATTTATTCCCAAGTCATCGAAAGCAGCTGCGGAATCTATTTTATTGGAAATTTTCATGTTGGTGCTATTTGTTTGGCCTACGGATTCTTGTCTTCAATTGGAAATTGCATGGACCAAGTCACTAAAGTGACCGTGAGTGGTGCAGAATTTGCTCATTCAAGATAGTAAAGTTGGACCAAGTGGCCTTAGCTTAACTGCAGAAAAAGGGAAAAATTGCAGAAGCCTATTTGATTGTGCAACAAGTTGGGGGACTCGTGTTTCTAATTTGAGTACTGTTGAACACAGTGCCTGTACCAAATAAATATCTTTATTTTTTGATTTATTTATTTATTTATTTGGATGTTAACAAGTACTCCCTCTTATTTTTTTTAAATGTCATTTTAGCTTTTTCAACTATTTATCAAATAAATGTCGTTTTGGATCTTTTGTACATATTTTTCTATTATAACCCTCATTTAGCCAATAAATGTATTACGTCTTTTCATATTCTCTCTTCACTTTTTTCTCAAAACATTCATATCTATCTTCATTAAATAAGGTTATTATTGACAAAAAAATATTCTTAATTAGTGTGCAACTTATCAAAACGACATATATTAAAAATAGGAGATAGTATTATTTTGCTTTAAAATTTTAAAAATGTACTTTTTGGTATTGGATAAAAAAATCCTGGTTTATTTAAATTTTTTAAGACGAGTCTCGAAAGTATTTACTTAATATTTAAAATAATATTAAAAAATCTTTAGGTATTTGATTTATTTGAGACAAGTATTTTTTAAGATTTTTTTAATATTTATTGAGATTTCAATAAAAAAAGTCATATACGAATATTCACTCCAAATTCTATCTCCAGAATTAAGATGTCACTGTATCACTTCTAGTTCTGAAAAATTTAAAGTCTTAAATCTAAAAAAGTATCAAAATGTCACTCGAAATTCTAAATGAATACACCTCTTAATATTCAAACGAGTGTATCAAGTAAAATCAATTGTATCTGTTGTAACTCATGTTTTCAATAGCTTTTTTTTTCAATGTTTTCAATAGTTTTGCTTAACGTGTCGTTAACACATGTATAAATGTATTGTAAACAAGGGAAATGCTACAGTCCCGTTACGAAATCATTCCGTCCGGATTTGTAATCATTAGATCATCATGTAACGGTCATAGATATTTGGTCTAATGGTTATAAATTCCAACGAAATAGATCATCATGTAACGGTCATAAATATTTGGTCTAATGGTTACAAACTCCAACGAAATAGTTCCGTAACGGAACATTAGAAAAACAATTGCCATTCATCAACTTGGACATAAGTTCTATTAGGAAAATAATATTTGAATCATATTTTAGTAATAGCAATGCATAATATGGTGTATTTTATTTAATAAATACATCCACGTTAACAAATAATGAAAGGCATAAAGGTAGTGAAGATATATAAAAAAAAAAATATAGTAGTAATAGTCATGAGTGACTTTCTATACGTTTTCTTGTGGGATGGTCCTAATTCGTGTTACTTATTAGCTACATTAAAGAGAAAAGTGATGATGATAACTGTAAGTAGAAAAGCATGCTTGGAGCTTTAAAGCATATCTTTGTTTAGAACTGGTAAGATTCCAATATGATGGGAATAGTATGTATGTATGTATACATTTTTGTTATAGAGCCGTCGGATGACTCGACTTATGGAGTCATCCACACTTATTCACCAATAGTGTAATTACACGTGTTCTACAATAAGTATATTTTGGACAAGTGTCAATACATTAAGTAATGGATGGCTCCATAAGAAAATTATCCGAAGGTTCCATAAAATTTTTGTGTATGTATATCATACTTTTTTATTCTGTTTTCATATATATTATACGATCGGAATAGTATGTATATCAATGCAGTACGAATTTAATACATGGCTTTACTAATAAATTTGGTACTATTAGTTATAGGATGATGCTCTCCTACTCACGGTGAGCACATGTTAATATGACCACCGCTTATGTGATATGCAAATATTAGTCATGTGAATATGTTCAAAAAAATATATCACCAATGAGTGCATGCCACGTAAACGGTGGGCATATTAAACATGTGTCCACCAGTGAGCATTACTGATTAGTTATAACACGTCAAATCTTGGAAAACATTAATCAAACATTATTAGAATAGAAGTTGCACGACATTCCAGTATTCCACGTATTAATTAATATAAAAAAAAATAAAATAATAAACAACATATTACTACAGTAAGACATGACTACATTATATATTATTCTTGGGCTATCTACAACATATGGATTTCATTATTATTGTATATTGAAACACATTAATATTTCAATATGTGCATTACCTCTTCATTGTGGAATATGAAGGTTATCCTCCCTATATATAATTCTAGAATGCGCTGAGCCTACGTGATTGCTTTTGGTGCTTCGGAATCCTACTTGGCGAAGAATCATGCTTCGTAATTAGGTTTGGACAAATAATATTGATATATTAATAATTAATAATCTAGGTTCGGACATTCCATAAATATTATTTAGCTAACTTAGGTATTTTAATATCACTTTCACTAATATAACCCTTTAATTCTTTGTAATTTTACATAGTGAGAAACTAAGTGACTAAATATATTCCTGACATTTGATTTGTTTCCTTCATTTAGCTATTGAATTGTAAATGTATTTTAAAAGTTGATAACTTTTGTATTTCTTATCAGTTTTATATATATCATATACCAAATTAATCATCTTTTGATGATCTTCGATTTGACATATTGTATATATGAATTAAATAAATTATATTTATCTTATAATAATAAAACATAATAATATTTATTAAAATTCATTAGAAAAATAAAATTATTTCTCAATTGATATATTTATGTTTAATGTAGTTATATGTTGTAAGTTAAAAAAATTATTATAATATAACACAAGTAAGTCGCACAAATAAAAAAGTGTCATACTTTAATATATAATATATATATATATTTATAAAAGGTATTGAAATTTTTAATTATTTTTCTCATTAATTTTAGATTTTAAGAAAAAATTAGCAAGCACCCGTGTAATACACGGGGTTGTACTAGTTAAATAACATTACTTAATAAAATTATTCATTTTCCAAAAGTTAACAGGGAATATCAACCAATTTGTTGAGATCCAATCTATTTTTATGAATTCCGTAATATCAGCATTTTCATAATTTTGTAGTTTTCTATTAAATTTGAAATATAGATCATTTATATATTAGGTTTTTAAAATAATTTAACCAATATTAAACAACTAATTTATTTATTTTTCTCTTAATTAAACAGGAATAATTTCACTTATATATATCCTTTATTTTTCATCTAATTCTATCCCTCCTCTCTATTTATATTATATGTAGTTAGTTTAAAGGTATAATATTCTTTGTTTTTTTTTTTTCTCTTAATTGCGTATTGGTTTTAAAATGATCAAATATGACCCAAAAGTCTTACTCATGTGCACGGACACCACTCTCCACCTTCTATTTATAGAAAATCAAATCCAATAAGTACAAACATTAGCTTTACCAGCCAATTATCTCAACCAAAACATCATTGGACTACCAAGGATTGACTCAAGTGCTAAGCAGTTTGAAGTCGCTTAAGCAAGGTCTCGTGTTCGAGTCCTTGTGAATGCAGAAAACATTTGTTGGGAGACTCACCCACCATTGCCATGTATGCGACCCGGATCGACCAACGGATTAGTCGGAGCAAAGCTCCGAATACCGTGGCTGCCTACATAAAAAAAAAAACTATCCTTGGACTGATCATGCATTTTCCTCCCTTGCAGCTAAAATATACATATCGAAACACACACACACACACATTTTTTTTAGGGCAAAAAAATACAACAATCCTAGTAAACTTCAAACAAAGCATTAATTCAACATTATATTACACTTCCACTTAGTTAATGATGATG